AAGCTTTAGAGTCTGTGGAGATGCCACTTGTTAATACTCACTAGACATTCAATGTATGTCCCTTTTATGTCATTCTTAGTAAGAGCTCTTGTGCTGTGAGTTAGTAATTATCATTTGGGATGCAGAAGAAGGAAAACATGGGTAGATAAACTGAGAACCAGAATTGTCATTCCTGCAAGGTAAATAGCAAAGTTTCTTGGTGCTTTAGGATTAGTGGGAGTACACACTTCAAACAGCTTGAGCCTCTTCAAAAAACTTATTCTGAGTGGGCAAACCTTTTTATTTGTGCTGGATCCAAACAGATAAATTAAAAATAATCTTAGTATTATCATCTAATTCTCATGCTTCCCATCATAAACTTTGGGGAAACTTATTGTGAAGATCCTTGCCCAGTGTTGACACACTTGGCAGGTGAATATCAGTGATGAAGTAAACCATATCCAGAACTTAAACTCCTATGCAAAACTGGGATGACAGTACATCTCCTTGTTCATGTAAAGCAAGGTCGATTCTGCAGAAGATGCAAGAGCTATTTAAATACTAATGCTATTAAATTCCCCACTCTCCAGTATGGAGACACAAAACCAGTTTTATGATGTCTAAATATTTTCAGCCACAACCCTGTTCTTGTAGACTATCTACCACAGTAGTTATAACTACCTCTTTTCATGTTTTTGGTTTTTTTTTTAATATGGGACTACAAACTGGCACTTGCTGAAATAGCTACTTATTTTTGCCACATGTTGATAAATATGAAAATGCTTTGAATGATCAAGGCCAGCTCCTATTGGCTGCACACAAAGTTTGCACGAGTTTCATCAGCTGCTCTTACCAGCAAAAAGAACAGATTCTGGGATACAGCATTATGTAGGTAAATGACACCACAAAGTTGGCAAACCAAATTATTTCCAATAAAGTCTCAGAATAGACTGATTTTAACTGAAATCATATCAAAGCTGCATATTTCTTATGGCAAGGAGTACAGCTTTGTTCTGAAATACATCTCACTTACACTGAAATCAACTTACATTGTTCCTTTATTCCTAAGATGCTCCTAAATAATGACTGTGTGGAAAAGTTAACATCTTTTGAATTTCTAAGTCATGCAGGGCAACTGACCTCTTAAGAATACACTATTTCCTTTCTGGCTACTTCGCTCTCCCTCATAGTTTTATCATTTTCTTCTCTTGGATCATTATCGTAGAGCCTACTTTCTCAAAGACCAAAGACAATCTGAGAAGAATGTGTTTCAGCTGTGCATAAAAATTTTCATATATTAAACTAATGAGTTAACACATACTCCTACAGAAAAAAAGAGAGCTATCCTACCATTATTCAGGGGAAAATGACTGTAGTCCTAAATGCAACCTTCAATACTTCATGCATATATGTTTTCATTTGAAGAGTATCTATAGAAGAATTATGAGTGTTCCTTGAGGAGCATAAAGTGTGTCTCTGTGTGAAAGGGTGGTTAATGGAATTAACAAACCCCTTTCACCTTGCTCCAGAACTGTTTTATGTCTAAATTTACAATTTACAACCAGCACTAACAAAATATTTCTAACAAGATTTCTTAAAACTAATTACCACAGGAGGCAACCACTTAGCTTTTTTCTCTACACTGGAATATCTGTCTCATGGTACAAATATTATAGGAATGAAATGTTCTGGCAATGTCTTTCTTGTGCATATTACTTTCATGAATTAAGGACCTGCTACAAAACCAATTTCTGGTCTTGGGATGAGATGCATGCATATATCTACATGAAAAGTATGTACAAAAGCACATAAAAAACCCAACACAAAACAATTAAATTTATTTCTGCTGTTGACATGCAAATCCTAGCAAACCAAGTATATTTTTTAGAAATCTGTTGATGAGTGATTTTCTCATTCTCTAAGTCTTCTTCTATAACAAGCACCCTTTACCACATCATATATTTCCTTTGTAATGGCAGAATGTGTAAATCAAAAAGACCATCTCTCATGGTACTATAAACTGTAAGATGATACATAAATCTATAGGCACATCATGGAAACTTTCCTTAATCTGTAATAGTCATTAATTTCTCTTTATTCTTGAGACAATCTCCTTGCTGTTCATCAAAACCAGTGTTTCCTGATATGCTCGCCAGGCCCTACGCACATGAAATCATTTGGCTTGGAAAAACCTCTCCTTCAGGCACACACTGTTACAGGTGGGTGAGGAACAAGGCTAAAATCTGACAATGCTTTTTTGCTAGTTTGAAAAGCTTGTTGCTTACAGGACAAATATTCTGATGAGAACAGAAGTCTAGAGAAAGTTGAAACAATGACACTTTCTCAGAAATGTGCTGCAGTTCCTATATTTACTGTCTTTATCAGTTCCAGAAGTATTTTAAAACCAGCAAGTACTGAAAACGAAGTGACATTGCTTTAACTGGTGTAGAGGAATGACAGCAATGCAGGTGGTAGTATATCCAGTTATGCAGTCTCTGAAAGCTTCTTCTATTGAAGTAGAATATCATGTAATAGAAGACATATCTATCTTCTAGAAGAGTTTTCAGGAGGGAAACCCATGATGGTATCTAGGTAATGCTACCTGTTGAGTGCTCTCACTTTGAGAACCTAAGTACCTATGACAAAAATCTAAGGAAGGTAGGTTTCATGACACTTTGTTTCAGACTGATAGAGATGCTGTGGAACTGTAGTGGTGATTGGTTCCACACGATCCTTCCTAAGCTTGGTATGGTGGCTGAGACTGGTTAGGGTACAGGTTATCACTTCTGCCGTAAGTATTCCTCATTCATATGCCTGCAGTGGTGTTCTACCTAAGATGTAGTTACATGAATTAACTAAACCAATACACTGGTTTTCCTCTTAAGTTATTTTGAGCTTACTTTTAAAGGACTATCAGAAAACATGAAAATACAACTTGCATAAATATAATTCAACAATCCATCAAGTTAAATCAGATTTTAAAAGGGAAGCTATTATTTTTGCATATTTCATCAAATTAACTTCCTTCATATTTCATGTTTAAAGAGGAGAGAGATAGTTGTGACGCAAAATGACTGAATTAAGGTGCACGGAAGAAGATTCTGTTCTCTCTAGAAGCAATATTCCAGTAAGCTGATTTGCCTTCTATTTCTCCTCTCTCCTTTTTCTACTCAAATCAGCTAGGAGAGCCTTTCAGATGTTAAAGCTACCCCCTACCTTTATTGCAAGGATACTCCATCTTGCTGTTTACTAGTTGCTATTCACAATACATATGTACAAAACAATACTTTTTGATATCCAATATATATTTGTCTGTATTGGCATTTTCCAGTAGTGTCTTGTTTAACACAAATAACATGTACTGCAGCTTGAGAAATGCAATCATTTGAGGTGTGAGAAGTGGCCTGACTGCCGACACAACCTCAAAACCCCATTACCTGAACATGACAGAACAGGTACCAGAAACAAGTAAAGGAAGAGATTTTTCCCCAACCCTTTATATAGCTCTGACTTTGAACAATTAAAACCTTCCTCCACACTTACATTCTGACACAACTGAGACTAATGAGTAACCCAGCCTTTGATGCTTCCTAGGATCTCAAGCACTTAAACACCAGCTAAGTAAGAAAAAGCTGAAAATTCAGAACAGTTTTCCTAAGTATGTGACAGATTCCTGTGACTACTAATCTTGCAGGAAGTTCCTAAAAGTAAAATTATTTCTTATCTCCGAACAATCCATTTTTCTTTGCTCGCTGAACTCAGTTTAGTATGATGAAGCCAGAAATATCAGCTTTCTTCAACATTAAAATATCTGTGGTATTAGTTTTCTTACATTAAAGGAAAAAGATTGTGGTTTAGGGTTTTTGTAATTTTTTTAAACAGTTTTGGAGCACTCCTCTGAGCATCATGAAAATACCGCTATTAAATTTTGAAAGGCTTCTTTCTTTCTACTCTTTCTTTCTTTTATTCCAAGACCAAAGTCTGAATACTGGATATATCCAGTAATAAATCATGCTCCCCTCGATAAAGTTCAGGATAGAGGAGTCCATGAATCTTAGACGACAAAAATATATTTTACCATGATGGTGTGATAACTTTGACTGATGCAGATACAGGCAGTCACTGTGCAGTGACTTGCTTGCACTGCGTTTGATACTAATTGAAGAGGAATAAATTCTCACCATTTGCACACTGCAAAGTCATGTCTACATCAGATATTATACAGTCATTTCCCTTCACAAGATTTTAGAACTATTCTTAATCCTCTTTGCACAGCTGAAAGTGAGTATGTGAAACAGCACAGCGGGTTAAGCAATCACAATGAGCAAGCAGTATGTCAGACTGACCTACTAACAAGCAAATAAAGAATGAGCTACACAAACTGTGCTATCAGATCCCGGCCAAAATCCCCCCCAGTACCCATCTTTCACTCCACTGAAAAACAAAACTGACGCAAATTGCTGAAGTACATTTCAGGAGTGGACTTGGCCAAAGTGAGTTTTGCTACAATGCACTTTACTTTGAAGGTAAACTTTAGTATTTATTGTTGTCACTACTCAAAATCAAAGAGCTTACAACGATATTTTGAGCTTATAATGATTTTTTGACATCATACTACCTCCTTCTTAAGACAGACAATACTGAAAAATATGGATGTGCTTTTGATCTCAAAAGCAGAAGGACACTATACATATTTTTTGTTATGAAAATATAACTCAGTGTTAATCATAGTCCTCCATCTGTCTTCAGGTAGCAAAACAGAAATAGGTTGAATTACACAGGTTTCTGGCATCAGACAAATCTTGCTGAAGTCAGCTTAAGCTGAAGGTAAACTGTATTTGTAAAAATAACTAAAATTCTATTTTTGATGCATAAATATGGATCTAGTAATTTTATTTTAGACACTTTCCTCTCTCTCCTATGATACACTTCAAAGCAAGAAATAACATGGCTTTTTAATGTAACATTTCTGTAATTTTTCAAACAAAGAAATTCAGTGTTGAAAAGCAGTAATACTGTACCTTGATTTCTTCTATTTCATCTGGCACTATCTTGTATGCAGATATAGTCCCACCCAACCTGAAATCAGAAGAAAATGTTCTCAAAATCAGTAACAGAAAATACAGTATATTAATAGTGTCATGACTAGTTCCAAAACACAATATTCTTTCTACCAATTTAGAGATAGAACCCAGTAAATCCCAAATCAAAAGCAAAAAACCCCCTTTCTTTATCGAACAAAAAATCCTTATGTGATTAACATAAATACTAGAAACAAGGTGTCCATCACCTTCACAATTAAGTCAGCCAAGCAGAATTACCATCATCAGGATGGTATTTTTATATTAATGGCAATCAATCATCATATTCTATGATTTCTTGTTGATTGTCTAAGGCATATGGATGAGTTTAAATATTTGAAGCTTGATGTGCTTTGTGCTGAATATTTCACTGTGCTGCTACATAGTCTGAAATGCACCCAAGTACAGTTTTAGAAATAGAATTTTTTTAATTAAATGTGTATGTACAGACATCACAAATCACACAGACTCTATGGTCTCCATGTTTGAAAAATCTCTGCAGTTAATGATTGGTAATAAAAAGTGGATGATGGGCAATAGCTGGCATTGACACAGAAAAAATGGAGGGTTTTGTTCAACATGGAACTCACTGAAATTACTTTTTTAAATCCTGCAAAAATCCTGGTAAAGAATAGTTCACCTACCAAAGATGTATGAATAGCATGTACTATAAATGGTGGTTAATATTACATTTTCCCCAGAGACATGCAGACATGGCTTCTTTTATGTCATGAAGCAGTCTCATTGGTAGTGACAATTCAGACCTAAAAATATACGTGCACTAATGACCTCCTGCTGGCTCTACGCAGCAATCCTATTCATTTTCTGGATCCTACAAAAATGGAACTCACATAATAAACTATTTTTTGTAAACATTTCTATACAGATGTATTTCCTTATATCTTGAAATTATTATAAATATTGTTCAGTCTAGTGAAAAAGGGAAGAAGAGAGTAACACAGAAAATACATTAAGATTTTCCACGCAAGTCCTGACTTCCCATATCTCTCTCATAAATGAAGTGCTTGAAGATTTTACACAGAGGATGAAGTCTGCACAGGAGAAGTCTGAAGTCCATCACTGCTCCAGGTAACAGCAGCTTTATAACTTCCAAATTCATCATGGACAGAGTGTAGCAATTGCTCTCTCACATTTCCTCTGCAACTTCCTTTGCTGCCATTCATTAAGTGAGCCTAAAGTTGGACAGAACTGAATTTTTTTTTGCCAGTGCAAGTACAAACATGAGCTTTTATTTTTCATGACTTTCATTCAACTGGTGTTTCTAGGGATAGCTACAAGAAATTGGCTTGAGCATCATGACGAAGGATTGCCTCATCAAACCATGACAAGCAATGGCTCAGGTGGCACATTAACACTGCACCTGACCAGTCCTGTGCCTACTGGAGCGAGGTCCATAAGAAAGAAACTTTCATGTACTTTGAGATCCATTCCTGCCTGCACTTTGGAGTACCCCAAAAATCATTGACCTTCTACTATCTAGCAGAAAGAGAATACAGAATCTCTCCTGCCAGCACTCCAGCAATATGGAATTCCACCTGGCAGATATTTTTATTGGCCACCCTGGGCACAACTATTATGCACTTTCTTGGAATATTAAAAAAAAAAATTAAAAAAAAAAATTGATTCAGTGAACTCATCTGTCTTGCTTACACCATTAATTAGCATCCCTACACAAATAGTTCTGCCAAGTTTTGTATTAAGAGTTTAACACACTCTGAATCTGCCAAGTTGCAGCTCAATTGGTACCACTCTTAAAAAGTAAAATTTACTTAAAAAGTAAAATTTTTGCAAACTTTTTACAGCTACCACAATTCTGTATTTTTGAAAGAGACATATTAAAAATTATGTTACTGTTAAATAAACAATCTCTCACTGATAGCTCCAGCTCACATATGCCTTAATCCATTTACAATCCTACACTGACATCTTTATCTTAAAAGTCCAGTGTACAAACATAAACAATAAGAAATTTGAAGCTGAAAGAGAATCAGAGAACATTAATATACAATTTTATCAATGTCTCAGATTTGAAATGAAGTTTTTAAGGAAGTCTATACTTTCCTAATTTCAGAACATTAGATTTCAGTCAATCTCTGAAAGAGATCCACCACCACAGATTATAGTACCTGATTTAACTGGCAAAGGACAAAAAAAAGACATTTCAGTCTGTATATAAAGTTTGTCTGAGTTTCACATAAGTTTAAAAGCATCCCACACCCTGTGAGGATGCAGCTAACACAGCCACATCACTATTACCAATCTCCAACAGTCAGCTGGAGTCTTCAGTCAAGTCTGAAGTGTAAGGGACTGGACAATACTGCACACACAAGTAACAGAGCAAAACAAAAACATTGTGATGATTGCTAAGAAAAATCAGCAAAATCAAGGCAAATTGAAAATCAATGCAATAATGGATATGTCCAGCTTGAGGAAAACTTTATACTTCAAGTGTTTTTCTGAATTACATTTAAGTGTAACCATCAGTTGTGGCCTGTCTGGAAGTTTGCTTGTCACTGTGCAATTCCTTGATTCGATTCCTGACATCTGAAAGAATAGAGACCAGACATACACAGGAGATTTCAGCTGTAGGATGATACACAAACTATGACAGAGGGCTTGCACATGGCATATTTTTTCACTTTGTTGTGAAAAACCTCTCTCTGCAGGTTGTTTCCTTTAGAATATTTTACAGTACCATTCTTAATCACAATGTTTCAAGAAGTAACTGCAATCAGAACAGCAAAGGACCAGCTAGCCTGAGTATACATTAACTACTTTGTATTCTTTGTATGCTAAAATATAATGCAGCAAAGAACATGTTAGAATGGCCAGAATTGAGATCAATAGGGAAACAAATTTTGTGCACTCTTCATCTTTCACATATTTTACTATTTTACAGATTTTATTATACTGCTCTCCATTTGAACAATTCAGCATCCAGCATCATCTAATAGAAATGGCGTTTTCTCTCTGACAATACATACCCAACCTAGAGCAAAGCTAAATACACATCCAGCTACTCCAGTACACTGAAAAGATGGTTCCAAACTTCATCCAGAGAAACCTCATGTACGAAGTCTTTCTCTTCCAAACTACAGTATTTTCATACTATATCAAGCCACACTATTTAACAATGAAATTATTTTAAATATTACATTTCACTTGTATATGCAAGAGCTAATCTCAAATGTGCCAGAAATTGTATTCAAATTTTGACAGACGTTAGTCTTACCAGCTCTGTATCATACCTTGAATATAATACAGACTGCCCAATTCTCTAATCTCTTTGCAAAAGAGAAATGAAATTATTCCTAGATATAGAAATAAGAGCTGAGACAATAATAATGAAAAACCACATCTTACACTGGGATAAACTGGTGAAAGCCTTTGAGGCAAGGATCAGAAAATATAGAAATTCCATAAAAGTAATCAGGAAATAATAAATATAATTATTTTAACAAAGGCTTTAAAACTGATAGAAATGTTGTGTCTTTTTTATCTTTTCATACTAGGTTCACAAAAGTTCACAAAAAGGATTCAGGAGAACAACAAGGTTTCTATAGCAACCTAAGAAATTAGCAAAATACAGGAAATAAACTGAACTCAGGCCAACATAGTTGTATTGGAACAGATGGATGCTTTACTATTTCACAAATTAAAGCTGATCATGGAAGAGAGAAAACTACATCCAAGTTAAAGAAAATTGAAAACCAGGAAGAACTGTGCTCAAATGGAGGCAAGAAACAATGAACCACAACTCAAATGAAAAGTAAACTCATGACAAAATTAAAAGAGGAATAAATTACACCTCTATTACATTATTTTTAACAAGACCTGTTTGCTATTTGTGTTACTTCCCAAACAGTGCAAGTTGGACTTCTGGCTGATTTTCCCCTTCCTCTCCACATATCCGTGTTCAGACAGACTCACTGGAGTATTATTGCAGAGCTCCATTTTGTGCAAGACACTTGAGCACTTGGACTGAATCCATACAGGTCAGCTTTTATCATGTGAATTCTGACCAAAGATACAAACACAATCTTTATATACAGTTCCACGTTAAGGGACTGCCATAAGAAGCTGAGCTATTGATTCATCCGTTAACTTAATAAATGAGTCATACCGAATGCAATGAAGTAAATTTTCTAAAAATAGCTTGTAGCCAGCTTGGCTGCTGTCATCTGCCGAATTTCTCCAATGCCACTTTAATTAACATTAATCTTTCTTCAGATAGATCACTGTCTAAACAATATCAAGTTGTCACTAAGCCTCCCAATGAAACTCTCCTTCATCTTTTAATGAAAGCAAAGCTCAAAATCCTCCACTTGGCATTTGTTTTCCAGGTCCATCTCACAAATATATTTGTTACCTGCCATCAGGATATTCTGTCTTTTGACTGATTTATAAACCAAGCAGATTATTCAAGAGAGACTGAACTTGGGAGCAGATCAAATGACTGGGAGCCAGACCAGCTATTTCTAATTCTATGGGCATGCTCATTTTATCACAGGCTACTGAATGAATACTTGCTACAATACTTCTGCCAGAGCAAACTGACCAAGACAGCATTCTTGGCCTACTCATCTGGACTACCTTGATGTTGACCCCCATGATATCAACAAATCAACTGGCCTCAGGTCCTCACATCCTCATAAAGTATTCCAAGGAAAGAGGCAGCAGGATTTGAAAGCATTTGAAAGCTTTCTTCTCCACTACCTGTAAGATACATTAAAAGCAGACAGAGAGCTCCTTTAATTGATAACTAGTTTCTACTGACCTTTGAGAAATTGTTAGAGCAGCCTGAGGGAGGTAGTAAGAAGGCTGCTGCTATTCTGGGCTCCCTTCCTACACAACAGAACGCTGGCAGCTACAGCAAGCTGGGCTGCAGCTCCTGTCGCTGGCTGCTCGCCAGCGATGAAGCGCACAAAGCAGCTTCCAAGGAGGATCCTGATGACAGCTTTACTTACTCAAAGGTAC